TATTCAGGGGAGCAAGGGATGTTCCCCACTTTGAAATCCAGCATAGGTGCCTTGTGACCAAGTGGTCAGAAACAAATTTGTGGGGTCAAATTGGAGAAACCAGCCAGAAAGCTGATTGTTCAGTGTTGTGTTTAGAGAATGAACCTCTCCCTTGAAAGCAGGACAAAGACAAGGCCACGAAACCTGGTAGCTAACAGCAGGGCTTCTATGTGCCTCTAATATTAAGGTGTGTGGTTCCTCTGAATGTCAGTTTCCTTACCTATAAATGTGGGGTGGGGGGTAGATTTTTGTAGGGTCATGATGCAGCGAAATGGCCTGTTGAGTGTCCAAATTAGAAGACATGGTCCCAATGTTGTCTTTTGTTTTCTGTCTCTCTCTGAGACCCACAATACAAAATTCCACCATAGAACCTAAAAAGCAAGGTGACCTAAAGTCACGTGCCCAAGTTTGCCTTTGAGCAGGTATGTGGGTAGCAGCAACCTTGTGGATTGCAACACCCCTGTGGATCACATCCAATGTCAGAGGAAGGCCCTGGAACCTGAGGACAGCCTCGAAAATGGCCAAGAAAAGAGAGGAAGCCGAGTGAGGCCATGTGGTTCCCACCCCAAGGAAAGCAGACAAAATATTCTGTCAGTGCAGCGAGAATAACAAGGAAGAGGCAGGGCTGGCCGCCCTGGCTGTCTCTGCTTCTCTGGCGGCTTTTGTGTGGTCTCCCTGGAAGGCTGCACCCTGGCATTTTGCAGAAATAGCTCAGTTGTGTGGGATGATGACAGGCAGTCAGGAAGGGGGTTGAGAGGGGACAGTGTTTAGCTGGCTCCTCAGAGCCGGACTGGTGGACACACCCTGGTTTACTGTGTAACAGATCTTCTGAGATCCCAGGACAATCAGTTTGGGGTTTCAAGCTTTGAGATTATCTTGGTTTCTGTCTTCTATTGGATGATTTCCTGAGTCTTGTAAGCAGTGAGAACATAAGGAAGTGGGGAGAGTGTTGGCGACCGGCCCCAAGGAGCTGAGCTGTCAAAGTGCAAGGCAGGCAGGGCCTTAGGGTGGGAAGGCTTAGGCCAGAGGAGAATCCAAGAAGTGGGAGAGGGGAGCAGGCACGAGGAAGACACGTGGGAGTCGGAGTTGGGTGCAAGTCTTCCTGCCCATCTTTTTAGCAGGTCTTTATTTATACTGTTTAGCAAGTAGTTAGTTACAATAATGCATCAGGTAACTTACTAAGAAATCAGCATAAAAGTTCTCAAGGAAGAGGGGAACAATGCATTCTCTTCCTGCCACTTTATGGCATACTAGACTACACATATTTGTGATAACTTTCATGTAAACGGGTGTTTAACTATGACTTCAAAGGATAAGGGGTCTGGGAAAGGATGAGCTGTTAGCAAAGGATTTAGGGGTCCTAGGGAAGGAATAAATTGTATTAGCAGAGTCATCAGTGATTGTCTAAAGAGAAGCTAATGGCTAACTTAAGACTAGCAGAGAGTAGTTAGTGTTTGTTCTAGGAAAAGTTTAATTAAGACTAGTAGAGGAGTAGTTAGTGATTGTTTAAGAAAAGGGAAATTAAGAGGAAGTCATGCATTAAGCAAAACCTGTGTCAATAATGTTAGGAGATTGCCCATGAGTCCTTATGCCCTGGGAGTCTTATCTGAGATTTGCTTTTTGTTTCAAAAGATGGAGGAAGATTCCCAGGAGTCTTTATGCCCTGGGGGTCTTATCTCTCCTGGAGCTTGCTTTTTGTCCTTGGAAACAAAAGGAATTTCCTGCCCTGGGCAGCACCTGCTTGCCTGGGCCAGGCAGCTACCTTTTGAGAAGGCTAAGGCAATTCAGTTGTAAACTGATGGTTGCTTAGAAGGATCCTGAGAGAGATCCCAGTACCTATTTGGGAATAAAGATAAGTTTTAATGCTAGAACTCGAAACCCACTCACTCCAATGCAAGAGAAACTCTGAAAGAAGATGCCTCAGGATGGTGAGGGCACAAATGTGTCTTAAAACCCATGTTGGGTGCCTCCCTGGTGACACAACAGGTTAAAGCACAGCACTATAAGTGAGCTGCAGCCACTTCAGTGGAAGTACAATCCCCAGCTCCAGAGGTGATCCACATGGCACAGCAGACCTCTCCTGACTGCCCCTCAGCAGTGTACTTCATCAATCTGCCTGTTCTGTTCCCCATTATGTCTCTGGTGAATCCTCTCACCACCCCTGCACCTCATAGTCTACACCTCAGGTCTGGATGTATATATAAATAAATCTTAAAAAAAAAAAAAAAAACATGTTGGAACCTAACTACTATTAAGAAATCTAAAGATAGCATCTAAGTCTAAGGGAAAATCCTCCCTGCATATCTTCAAGTCACACTGTTCCGTGTCACAAGTGACAATTAAGCACTTAAAGGGTGGAGGATCCAAACTGAAAAACCATGTCAAAGACCAAAAAAAAAAAAAAAGTCATCATTTTATGTTGATTCCATGATAATATTTTAGATCTATTTTGGTTAAACAAAATATATTCTTAAATTTAATTTTGCTGGTTTTATTTGTTTTAGTGTGGCTACCAAAACCAAAAATGTATGTTTACATGGCTGGCTCACCTACTTGGCAGTATTGCTTTAGGAGTAAATTTGTAGTCTACTCAAAACCTCAGTGAATATTTGCCACCACATAGTGCCTGGTGACTGGGGGTGACCTGGGTTACTGATGACCCACTTGTCCAACATGCTGCCACCAGGGCTGCGCTCTTGCAGTCCAGCCTGCTCACTCTCCAGACCTCCTCGTCTGCCTTGTTTCACCTTCCTGATTCCTTCTCTGTTGCCCTCTCTCTGGAGACGCCTGCCGGGACCACACATTGACTGCGATCACACATTGACTGCATCAACTGCTCTTTTCTCTTTGTAGATAAAAACTTGTTAATATTGTCGGCTGTCCCAACTGGACTGTGAGCGTCACGAGAAAGTCTGTACTGCTCTTGATTTCCTGCACTCGGAACAGCCACTACCTCCTCACTGGCCTTCAGTCTGTTTTTCTCGACTGGCTACATGCATGAGCCTTAAATCTGAAATCATTGGAATGTGTTCGGTTGTTCCCTTCTGAGCACCTGCATGGGAGGCCCTGGGGGGAAGAGACAGTCGGCCTAGTCTCTCCTCTCAGGGAGGACAGGACCTACAGTTTCTAAGGATATAAACCATCTGCAGCTAAAAGCACCATACTACCTTTAGCTGCTTTTCACCATGTGCAGGAGAAGGAAATAAGTCGACAGAGGTCGAAAACCAAGATAACCTCAAAGCACAGACTCCCTGTTCCCCTGTAGTTGTAGATGGTCTCTATAGCTCTAGCTAGTGATGAAACAGGCAGCTCTCTTGTGCTCCTTGTGTTTGAAAACAGATTAACCATCACAAATGCTACAGTTATGGGCAAGTTGGGGCAGGCATTTCTAGCTTTGCAAAACTCTGAATGAAAAGATAACAGGCCTCCAAAGGACACATGTTTTGAGAGGTTTGGGGGCAAGACTGACCTCTTAATACCTCTGTAGATTACGGAAGCAAGTTGTGGGCCACCATGTGGAGTAGACACTGGTTTCATTTGCCGCTGTCCTGTCAGATATGTGTATGAAAGATAAACGCCTTCTAAGGGGCCAACCTCTGCCACCTCGAGTTTGTGGAGAAATAGAATAATAGAACACTGTAAACACTTTCTTTACGTACCTCCATGTTTTTACATATTGAATGGACAGTGCATGGAGACGATGAATGGAGACAATGAATGGAGATTGATTTTATCTTTTAAAAAATTAATAAAGAGATATTTAGAAGTGAAATTTTGAAAAGAAATCTGAAGAGCACCTTGTATTTAATAAGAAATTCTCAGTTCTTGACTTTTTCCTTTGTCTCAGCTTTGTCCCTTTGCTGTTAAAGACTGGGACTCAGAAGCCAGCAATTAAAGGCCACGTTCCTTTGTAGAATTTCATGACCTGGCTCCCCAATACTAACTGAATGCACTCTTCTATTGTCACTCTCCTGTCACAGTGGGGGTTCCTCTGCTATTTAATTATCCTCACTTATCAGAGAAATGGAAGTTCATGAATGTTAGAAGAATTGCCATGGTCTTAGAGCTAGTTAGGATTGCTCAGCTTCACAGGGCTATTTAGGGGTGGAGTCCAACTTTGAACATAAATCTTTTCAACCTTGTGGCCAAGTTCACCACAAGTTGTGTCCTCTTTCCAAAGGATAATAAATGGCAATAAACCTCATCCCATGGCTGCATTAAACACTACTCTCAGTGAAGGTTAATGCTATGTACCTGTAAAAAGCTTCTGCTCTCCAAAAGTATTTCCCTAACCTTCCTTGGAGCCTGTTAGTCCACCAGTAGACTCTGTCCCAATGGGCAGGATCCCCGGGGGGCCACTCTCCTGGGTCCAAAGACAAAGACCCAGATGCTTCTGAGATGCGGTCCCTCAATATCAGGTTCACATATATAACATCATTACAACTCACAAAGGCATTAAGTGAATTCATTATCAAAGAACTGCATCTAAGACCTCCCAGAGAATGAGATGTGGAGTCAGTAAGATTTGATGGGGGTGTGGGAAAGGGATAGCTATGAGCAATCAGGATTGTGCTACAGGACTAGCACTTTGGGACCATGGGTAATCAAAAGAGACTGGCACACAGCTGAGCCAGCTCACTCTGTGGCTGGTTCCACAGATAGCACTGCTCAGCCCAGTGACAAGTTCTGCCAGGGCTGCTCCTTGGCACTGGTCACTGGGACATTAGACACAGTGGCTCAATGAGTGGAAATAGTCACCCCATCAGGAGGCCATTCAAAGGGTATGTCCACCCTGGATTCTGTTCAGCATCCTTCTTGGGCACCGAGGTCCAAGACATGGCTTCTGAATATTTGGGGGGTTGGCTAATGGATCTCACCTACTAGTAGGTTTCCAGAGGTAACCTGAAGGAAAATAATGTTTTCTCTCTTCTCTAAGGGAGTTGTGCTTTCTCTCCTCACAGAAAAAACGCACCCTCAAGGGCTCCATTGAACTTTCCCGAATCAAATGCGTGGAGATTGTGAAAAGTGACATCAGCATCCCTTGCCACTATAAATACCCCTTCCAGGTAAGTCCACAGGGCCTGAGGAGACCAGTTCCCCATTCTCTAGAGGATGCTTGAAATCCTCAATCATTGGAAGAGATGGTGGGAAGGGGATGTCTCTGGCCTAGGGCTTGAACTTAAACGCTGCTGCAGTTTTGCAACTGACACATCATTCATTCACTCATTTAGTCATTTGGCAAAGATTAAGCACAAATCCTGAAATACTCACCATTCCTCATTCACTTCCTTACCTCAAGAAATGTCCTAGTTTCTCTGCTCCTGGAGGCAGGGAAAGAACTATCAAAGACCCCAAATATAATGTCCTGTAAGTGCTATCTATACATGATTGGGAGACAACAGATTGCAAGTCCTTAGTATTACACTGCTTGGAGTTTCTGGAGTAATTGCGTGAGAACAGTTCTGGAAAATTTGAGATCTAAAGTTCATAGTCTAATTTAACAGCTGCTAGGCACATGTGGATGTTTAAAGTTAAATATAAATTAATTTAAAGTAAGCAGCAGTAAGAATTCAGGTGCTCTGAGCCATGTCGGGTGAGTGAAAGTTCAGATGTTTGAGAGTCATGTGGCCTGTGGTTTTCAACATCGGACAGCAGAGATTACAGAATATTTCCAGTTCTGCAGAAAGTTCTATTTGACAGAGCTGGTAGGAGGATCTTTAGGTCATACCTTGTCTAAATCTCTTTACCATGTGTGGCTACAAGCAATGGGTCCCTTCCTACATCCTAGGGTACCATGTTCATTGATCAATCTGAGGGGTAAATGTCTCATTTATAAAAAAAAGAAGATTTATTTATGCTTATCGAACTGGGGTACAGGCCAGAGGTGTGGTAGGTGAGAGGATTCACCAGAAACTGAGTGGGGACAGACTGATAAGATACATACACTGCTGAGGGTAGCAGCGGGTGGGTCAGAAGAGGTCTGCCATGCCATGTGGGTCACCTCCCTGGCTGGGGATTGAACTTATGCTGCAGTGGCTTCAGAGAGCTTCATAATGTGGTGCTTTAACCCACTGTGCCACCAGGGAGAGCCCTCATTTTTTTTTTTAATGTGTCAGAAATAAAGTGTCTTTTTTCCTACTAAAAAGGTGACCTTCTTGAATGGGAAATTTTAGGAGTGCATGAAAAGGAATTACATATACTTTCTGTCATTAAAACTCCAACTAGAGGCTTCCCTGGTGGCTCAAGGGGTTAAAGTACAGCACTATGAAGCTGCACGAGTTCTATCCCTGGCCAGGGAGGTGACCCACGTGGCATAGCAGAGCTCTGTTGACCCATCTGCTGCACTGCTTAGAAGTATATTTAAATAGATCCACTGGTTGTCTCCACTCTGTCTCTGGGGAATCCTCTCACCCTTCACATCACTGGCCTGTACT